CATGTGTCCGTGCTAAACAATTTTTTCTGGTAAGTTATAATCCGTACAACCATAATATGCAAGCGAACACTATGTATGCCTAGATTAAAGTTATTTTTGCATTTGAATTTATCGTTGTACGTGTGGTAAATCTGCAATTCGAAAAGGAAGCCTGCATCCTCGCAAACGCTTCCTTAAACTAAAGAATCATGTTTAAATGTAAATTCGTGAGCCATTCTTTTTTATTTTGACTTTGGGTGAACCCTCCTCTCTTTTTCGTTTTAATGCGGTGCCGTATTGGTTCTAACTTGACATGCCGCTTCTGTTGTGTTTGTGTGCCCTTTTGCTACCCTTTTGTACTAGTGCGCAGGAATCGCTCCCCATTAATGTTAGTAACTGGACACTACTTTTGTCTGGTGAATGGATGGTTGAATTGTGAGCTCTTCATTAAATATTTCTGGTGTCATTGTCTTTTAACTATCTCATTTCCTAAATAACATATTTTGACCGGCCCTTCTAATAATGAAAATTTTTGAGGTATTTTTAAGTTCAGATTTCTTGCAATGTTGATTTGTTTTGCTTTTGCTGCTCTAGCACGCAATCTGGTTATTGCTGTATTTCACAATTACTTCCTTTTACATTACTAAGATTCGTGTGTCATGCACTGCTTCAATTCTTTTATCGCTTGTTGCTGAAGACACTTTTATCTTTTTAATAGCAAAACTAATTTGCCTGAGTCTGATTTGCTTTTAAGAAAATTAGGGTATATCTACATTTTAATCCTAGCTACGCGCCCTGGTGTCCTGCTTGCAATCTAGTGGCAGTGGAATGGAGGCGCTTTGCAGAGCTCGCTCCCCATCACGACGTAAAGGTGGCTCAGCTTGACTGTTCTGCCGAGTCAGCTGTGGCTATGATTTTCACCATCACTTCACTTCCCACTATATTTCAGTAAGCTCCTTTAATATCACTTCTACAAGACTTTTCGGGTTTTTGGAATGTACTGATACTGCATGTATTTTGAAATCAGGTCCTACTTTTCATGACGCTACTGGTTGTTAGGTGCGTCTTCTATTCACTCCATGTGTCTAACGTTTTACTTTAACGCTTTCTAGTGTCAAAGATGGTGTATTCCGAATTGTTAAAGGAAAACGGAAGACGGAACAGTTGCTGGACTTTATAAAGAACCGTGAATTTGAGCTTATCGAGCCTACCACATGGTCGATCCCTCCAAATGCTTTTTAGTGAGTTTTGCTTCGCAGTGGAAGCCCTTTAAGTTTTGTTGTCAACTAATGGATTCACTTTTTCTGTAATCGTAGTATGTCTGCTGTTGTTCGGTTCCTCGATCTCTGCCTTTCCATCACTGTAAGAGTAATCGCTGCTTCGGGTTTCGGAACTCTCATTGATCTCGTTGTTTTATCTAGTAGGCTAGATAACTCCTTTTGCTTTTATATCAGAGTCGACTCTAGATTTTCTGTCGTGAATGGTACACTGCTTGTTTGGGATTTCACATCACAATTCGACCTACTCATTCACATCATATGTATCCGAAATTGATACATTGTTTTTCTGATTTCATAATTAACTTGATTTTTTGCTGTGAACTTGGTAAAATTCTGGAAATATTGTTTATTGTAGGCAATAACTGTGGTTTTTATGCATGTCAATAATCAGTGGGGATCTAAATGATTTCATCATTTCAAAACCTTTGTGGAGATGATTTTGGTTTCATACAAGCATCAGATGTCGTAATAACTTGATTTGAAACGGTCATTTTTGTGTAGGCCTGGGCTATTGCTCTTTTTTCATTTCCACTTTTTCCTGCTTAGAAAGCCCACAGAATGATGATAGGCTATGGTGTACCGGCTTCCTTGTCAATTATTTTAGTCGGCACTGGTGTTCTTGCTTCAGGAGCTGCCATTGGCATGGTTTGTTGGCACTTGTTTTTTTCTACTTTTCTGTAGTAGGTGTACCAGTATGTAGGCTTTGATGCTTATATGCGTAATGATTGGGGCGCCTTGTGATGGAGTTTTCTCGCTTTACTTATTCCCAAAAAACTTTGCTTAAAATGAGCGTTTTTGAATGCGATCACCTTGATCTTTCTGTTTCCCCATTAAGCTTATCCTCTGTGTCTGCGAATACTTCTGTCCACCGCGTCCTCAAATACTCAATGTTGTGGGTATGGAGGGCGATCCACCTCAGCCCATCGTGACAAAGGAGACTGTAAGTGTTTGTCTGATTTTTTGGTTTTCTAGGCTTGTCGAATATCGCTCTCCGTTTCCTTTTCTCTCAAGGGAACTAGTTCTCTTAGGCTTCCTAAAATCCGGTGATCCATTTGCTGCAGCTGGTATAAATAGGTTTTCATACCTTTAATGAATGTAGACCATCGAGGAATGGGGAATAACTGTTAATTAAATCCTTTGCTTTATCCAACTGAGTTACATAGTTCGTAGAGGATGACTTCATGAAAAAAATTGCAGACATAATATGGCACCTTTTCCTCATAATCTCGAGTTGTCTTTTCATTGCAACAAAAAATTTTTTTTTCACAATAGTATTTTGGTAATTGGCGACGCTTCGGGTTTCTTCTTGACATTATCCAGCAAGTCTGCTTATTGAACCGTTAAAAGTCAAGGCTGTAACAAATAAAAAAATGGTGTCGTGTTCATCGTCATTAGGAGCGAGCCAGAAATCGCCAAGTCGTTCCCGCCGACAAATAGTGATAATTCTCCTTTCTCAGTGATTCACATTTAAGTAGCTTTAATGGTTTTGACAAGATTCTTGGATTGTTTAGTTTAGTCACTGATGTCGGTAGTGATTTTAAAGCGGAGTGAAATGCGGAGTTCAAGCTCAGTGGAGTTATTCACATCAGTCGCCCATCTCTGATGTTACATGTCTAACGGCTGTAATCTTGTTTATAATCTTTTGTCAGTTTCGAATTACCCAATTTGTGCACTGCTCTAAATTCAAGCTTCGATGTTATTACTGCCCAGATTCCAATTGTCATTGGAGCGAGTAAGGTCGGTTGATGCTCTAGTTGAATCACTTTCCCTCCTTATAGGACATGGAACAGGACAGTGTCTTGGATGACAGTGAAGATAGCAGTTGGACCGAGGTCAAAGCACCGGATGCCAAAGATTGTGGCCAAACCGATGAGCCTCTAGTACTCCACCGTCGGAATATCGGGAAGTAGCCTTCAAAATGTCTGCCTCATCCAAGAGCTCGCTTATCCCCTTTACGCCAATCTCCTTTGCTTCCTCATTCACATCAAAATGTTACTGGCTTTTAGCAACGTATGGAAGGAGTGCAATGTGCTTTGAGATGTTCATTGAGTGTTTTGTCCACCCTTTGCTACTCCTCTCATCTTGACACATGAATTTTTGGAGCTGAAAGATAGCACAATGCTTGCTACAACATCGTACCGATGCATGTTTGGGTGTAAGCTTGGTCTAGGCATTCGCTAATTTGGGAAATTGTTGGCTTCTGCTGCGATGTTTTGCAAGTTTGGCGTTTTTTATGAGAAAATTCGCTGAAGGAATGCATGAGTACCGAAGTGCACCATTGTGTATCAAAAATGTCGTCTAGTAATCGCACCCTGTTAGCTTTATTAAGTTGGTTTAGTACAGTTTTTAAAGCTACTTTAACTGTCCACAATTTTCGATTTGGCCTTGGGTTGTTTGAGATGTTTCGTACATCTGTTTTCCCACGTGCTTTGAGTCACAGGGCTTTATTAATTGATACCCCAACGTAACTGTGTGCAGATTATGAACATTGAATCGTGTTTTAACTGGGTATTGGAAGTGGCTCTTGGATCCACTGTAAAATAAGTTGGTACTTCTAACAAAAGGATCTTTTTCCAAGGTGTAATTTCAACTTTTTAACTACCGGCACGGGAGTCTGATGTGTTCCTTCGTTATCCTCAGCTAACCCTCCTGTCCTTCGAACAGGCGTTGGCCATTGGAAGCCAGACCAAAAAAATACAACCAACATAGAGGTAGCGTTGCTCTTTATAGCCGTTTCTTCTTAGAACTGCGCGCAGCTCGATTTTACACTGGTGTTGTTGTGTCCATCAGCAATTGGGACTTTCCCATCCATGAATCGAAACTACACTTGAAGTGGAGCATGTCGGCGTCGATCAGATTTGTTCACTTAGATTCGAGATTGCCGAGCTAGATGCTTATGATTGGCGAAAGCTTTTGTTGTAGATTTATCACCTGCTTTCTTTCATGTAAGGACATTAGCTTTAAAGTATATTAATTTCTCAAATGATTTGGGCTGTGTTTCCTGTTGTGAAATACACTTCGAATGGCAATCGTGTTGATTATTACCACATATTATTGAGCAATGTGTGATGAGTGCGACTTTCGCCTCTTTATGCCCGCCTGAACTTACTATCATTTGAGGGCTCTGCCATGTGATAATCAAGACGTAACCAACGTTACTGAAATTTAGAGGGTAGCATTGGTAATTCCGTAAATTGTTTTCCTCAGATGAGCACTTGAGTACCTTAGTTGGAAATACTTATTCTCCAGACCACCGTATTCTAGAAGACCGAAAGACTTTTTAAACATCATCATGACAAATTAAAGTCCTTAGGATTTGTACCAACATGCACCAATTCCCATTAAGTCGCACATAGTCCAATAAGTCAGTGCTGGTGTTTGTTGTTTGGGCAATAGGTGGAAGTGTTTTAAGATTTCACGTTTGGTTGAAGAATTGAGCGTATGACGTCCATACAAGTTATAAAAAAATCGCTACTTGTATACCTTGTATTTTGTATATCCCAATTTCTGTTAAACATCTCTAGTAGCGTGAGAAATGTGAGTGATTTCACTAAGTGAACATATGGAATGCTGCAACATGTCTCAGAAGGCATACGACTTTCGATGATATGGTACGGAAAAATAGAGGTAAAGCAAGGCCATGCTTCAAAGCAAAACCTTATCTACCAGTGCTTCCAGAGTATGCATGGGTAAAACGAATAGTACCCTACTGCGGACCCTGTCTTGTGTTCACAATTTTTTAGAACTCCTTAAGTTTTGTGATGAATCGGTGAACGCTTAGCGGAAAAAATAAATTGTCAAAATGATGTAGCCTATCATACCTCGGTTTTTGGTGTCGATGAGCCTTGAACATGCAGGAGACCTATTAGTTTCAGCAGTAAGTGGTCATTTTACGTAGTTAAGGTGCCGAGAACTTTATGAAGACAACACGTGTGAACCACGTACTACTAAGCTCACCCGGTAGCATAATGTAACAACTTGACGCAAGTTTTCATCCGCTAGTGGTACCTCTAAATACATTGAGTCTCAACTCCCTTGTGTAGTAACTACAAGCGTAATTATCAACAGCAGAGTGATCCTGAGGACTGGAGATGATGATTTATCTGGATGATTTAAGGGCACCTTTCACTGAGTTGGTAGACCTTAATAAGAAAGCCTATGCACCAACATGGTCCTGCAGTAATTTTGAGCAGGAGCTCTATTAATACGTAACGCTTAACAACTTCCACAACAGTAAATCAATTGGTCAAGACACATATGAAACATTTGGAAGTTTGTGTAGCCTATCCGCACCTCTTATTGAGCAAACAGGCACTGGCTTCAACTTGCTGAAACCGCAATATAAGACTCGAGTGGATATTTTCAATAATGCGGCACTACCACCACTAAAGTACAGTCAGGTAGAATGCTAAGGAGGGCTGTCCTTTCATTAGGGTATAGAAAAGCAAAACCTAAAAGATTTTTTACCTTTTGGTGCTTTGCTCAAGCCCAAAAAATTGCAATACAAAGAATTCGCAAGAGACAAGTATATACCTAGGTTAGATCAACATTTCCCAATAGTGACGAAATTTTAAGTGAAGATACATGAAAAGGAAAGGCTGGAATAAATTTTGACCAAAGGTTAGAAGTGAGCTCGAGGAAAGAAATGAAGTTTGGTAGGAGGCTAGAGCAAGGGCATGAAAAACGATCAAATGTCGCCGTTTTTGGAGGAGAGAGGAATGCTATGGATCGAGGAGGACTCCGCATTTGCGCCACTAGCCCCATCGTGCGTTGGTCGGTAGGACTGCATGGATGGCGGATATAGGTGATTGGGGAGAACAGAGGGCAATTCGTGCCCGTTTAACTTAAGCTTGATCAGATACTTCGCCAATGCAAACTCGTCCGCTGTAAGACACCCGTCCTTATCGATGTCGGAGAGGGTCCAAATGCGACGCAACGTGGCCGCAGGCAACTGCGACTTTAACATCTCCACACGAGCTGTCTCTCCACTTATCTTACCATCTGCAGTGTCCAGGGAACGAAAGACCTGTTACAGGGAAGGAAAAAAGCCTCGAGGGTTAGTGACTTCGATCACAAAACTCTCGTTCTTTGATGGAATTCACCAGCCACAACGAAAGGAAGTTCAGTAAAAACAAAATTTCGGAACTGTCAGTTGCCATGATTACGATATTGATAAGAAACGGTATTTAAACCCAGATAAGCCACAACCATGCATATAGTGTTTGAGGCATTCGAACGCGGTGTAAGAAATCAAATGCGTGCCAATTCAAACAAAGACAACTTTGTGAATTGAAAACTTCACAGCACAGTTGATACAATCTCTTGTTCGCGGTAAAGGCCTACTTTGCCAAGTAAATGAAGACTTCGTTAAAACAAATAGAATGCATATGAAAAAAAGGACCGGATGTGATATTGATGATGAGATTCAATTAATTCTGCTTAACTGAATCAACTGCCTAGAATTAGGATTAGAGCGAAAAACTAATACAAGTGTTCCATTTAGCACTAGGAAATGGACTGTAAAGACTTTTTTGTTTGATGCCTGTTTAATCTGACAAGAGGAGGCAAAAGCTGAGCAAATTATGAGCTAAAAAGTGGACTAGTACCAAGAGATCAGCGATTACGAACCAGTAATTCTAGTCTAATGAAATGAAAACTAGTCAAACAAGAATGGTTGATCAGGAATGGCGCAAATGCAGAACTAGAGATAGCCATAAACTGAATTTACGGACATCCACTGAAGCGCAACCAAGTTGTTGCTAAACGAAAGTATTCAGTAAACTTGCGTTGCTAAGACCTTTTGTCTCACCTTGAAATACCTGATGTTAACGCCAGTGTAGTAGAATGCCCGAATATCCGTGAATAATCACTCGAGAATGGGAAAGAATGTGAGAAAGGTGAGGGACAAAGAGGACAATGAGAAGCTCACCTCGAAAGCCTCGGGCACCTCGAGCTCAACAACCCAGGTGTTCTCAAATTTGCCGCGATTGATACCTTCTGACGCACCAAAGCCGAAGGGTGTCTCGAAATTGTCAAAAGCGCCACCCTCCACCTGTGGACGAAAGGCCTCCGAGCCCACCTTCTGCTCCTAGATGAAAGGGCGAAGTGAGAAGTAGATCAAGCAAAATGATCTTTGAAGAGGAAAATACATTGATTTTGAAAAGGAAGACCATCTTCCTTCCTCATGCTCAGTACATAGGTTTCGAAAACGGTATACGAGTGGATTGTTTCGCCCTTGGTATGAGGCGATTGAAGGAATAGACAAGTCCTACAAAGGTTTTAGTGCAACTTTCAATGAAAATACCAACCAGTTTTCGCTAAATTCTTACCGATTAAGATTTTAAAAGAAGTAGATGAGCAGTGAGTTACAAAAGATTTCTTAGATATGAGGGACAATGAAACGAGAAAGTTGGAGCATAATCATTCACAAAATTCTTCCACGGATCAGAAGCATCTGAAACCAGCAAAGCCAATTGTGCTATCGGGTAAATACAAAATCTTTGATAATCAAGAATATCATCATTAGAAATCATTAATATTCAGATGTGTAATGATATGAACGTGTTCTTGACCAACCTCAGATAGCGAAATACGGACTAGAAAAAAAAGCCCAAAGTTCATTGTGCATCCTGATGTGATTATGGAATGAAACAGTGCACAGAGGGTTTCAGCCAAGGAACAAAAAGTTGGTGGAATTTGAGGCAAAAGCTTTGGAGGTCTCCTGAGCGGCCACGCACAGTGGGCCGAGTACTTGAACGCAATTGAAGTGCAGCGAGAAGCAGTGGTGTGCGCTTCACGTGCGCCAAGCAGGTGCTTTATGAGCCGATAATAGAGACGCATTCCGGACCCTTAACGGCCATTCCGAGGGGATTATTAAAAAATGAATGACCTCTTCACGAGATCAAGTGTTTCATTTGATGAGACCTGAGATGAAAGCGGGTCTTTAGCGTTAGATCCATACATTATGGTCTAATAAAACCCACAACCGACACCTCAGAAATGCGCCTTACCTGACCTTTCTTCTTCCTTGCAATCTTTAGTTGTAATCGTTCCATGATATTACCCCTTGTGGTTAACTCATTGACTGACATCATCCTCACCCGAATTAACTGTTTAATAAATGCGGTTAAAAATGAGTAGCTAATTTGGGTGCCCATTTTGTATAATTGGAACTCTTAAAAATTTAGCTCAATTACTGGCTAATTGGTATAGTTTAATTAGAAGAAATGCACTAATTGAAGTAACGCAAAAAATGATTGGGCAGTCATGAAAGACGTGGATTACAACCACTCGGTTGAAGACACGTGTCTAAAAGTACGGAAAATGCTAAAGTGGGACGAAACAATGTTGTCACAAAGAAGTTGACGAAAAGCCGGCTAGTTATGCAACAGGAGGTACCACAATCCTGTTACTTGCACATAGTGAATAATATTTGTAACATTACTTGCCGAGTAGACTCCAAACTGTTGCACCTTTTCCCCAAACAACCAAACTTGATGAAAGATGCCAAGCGTGGTGTCTTCGAGACGCAATGCCTCTACAGCCTAGTACTTTATGCTACTATCCAGTCGTGAAATCCTGAATCACTTGATGATTCACTTCAAGGACAAAAAATGGCACTACCACCTATGATAATGATAGTGATATCAAAATCAGAGCCATCATATCGCGGTTGCAACTGACGTTACGGCTAATGATGAACTTATGGCCTTAGAGCTTAGGTTCGACATGGCCTGAAGGGGCCACAGAGGGTACCAACCTGAAGTCACGGATTTACGATGCGTGAAATAACAAAAAATGCAAATGATCTGAACAAAGGGAAAAAAGTGGTATCTTAACAGATCTTCGCTCTTAAAAAACATTTATTTGATGAATCAGGCTAATAGTGACACCAAAATAATTAGCTCTCAAACTAGTAGACTCAAAGCAACTGAACTGGAGCGGCCAAGTTATGCTACAAAAGGAGCAAACAATGATAGACAATAGTGAATTCCGTCTAATTACTGTGTTTGCAAGCTTACCATTCCAATACCAAACAGAAAATCACGAATTTGCAGTTTCCAACTCAGCTATAAAAACTCTGTGCAAAAAACATCATATGTGTACATTTTCCGTTGAATTTCAACAATATAAGGGTTTAGAGAAAACAACAGGCACAGATGAGTAAGTATAATTAGACTTTCTGCTAAAAGACTAACAATGTCAAACACTAGTGCAGAAAACAGAGTTCAATGTAGACACACAGGAGCTAACCTTTGCGGGAACATAGAGAGAAGTTCAATAAAACTGCTTTACGAGTGAACTCGTAGCAATCAGAGCGCGAACATGAAAGTGCACTGCAGATCGCAATTCAAACCTGGTATTTTATAAATTGAAGTTCAAGACAGCAATCTTCGTCTTGCAAGGTTGGAGTAACGTACCCAGGTTAAGCAAACGATGGAAACCAATTCCAATTTTCGTGCGTTAAAGCCGAAACTGTTGAGAAGGTCAAGTCTGCCTGCTTATTTTTTACCAAAAGTGAAAAGCTGCCTACTTTCCTACTATAAATCAAATTATACCAAAATTTCGATATACATTTTGGAGGTTTCCAATGCCCAACTCCAAACAGGATTAGCAAGAAATACTACGCAAATAAACCTATTTTCGGTCCATAAAAAGAATAACCTCAGCCCTCTTATCAAACCAAGGCAACCTATAATTAAAAAAGTATCCAACAAATGACAATTCTAACAGGCTGTCCGATTCGCGGACAAAGTACGATAGAAGTGGCAGAAGCATGCCAACACATCAAAACATACCTGAGGAATCATTTGCATTAACTTTGCAATGTCAACTGATAGCATTTTCTCCACACCAGCGATAAGTTTGGGCTGGAGATTGCTGAAAGACTTGAAGTCTTGCGTTGCAAGAATTTCGCGCATCTTTTCAATCGGTGGGAAGTCTCCTATTGAGATGTGATGCACCCTCGAAAGATTTTCGTAAATCGCGGGAAGGTTAGCTATCAGCTCCTTCTTTTTAGTTTCTTTACCAATGAGAGCTGGCATTTGACGCCGAAGTTCAGAAACTATATACGCATGAACCTGTTAAGGTTTAAAAAAGTGCTAATCGGCACTCCAACAATGCTCATTAAGAGATCAGGATACATTCTAACACACAAAATCCCAAATCGAGGATTACAGCTGGGAAGGAAACTTTGTCCATTTGCGTACCTTGGCGAGACGAGCGCGTCGAATAAGATCGTTAAGTTTGCGAATGGTAGAATAAGCCGGAAGGCTTTGAAGGTCTTGGAAAAGATCAGCCTGTTCAAGCTCAAAGAGACGACGATTCGTATCGAAGTGAAGCTGATGGTCCCAAAAGCTGCCTATGTATACGCGCGCTACTTCAGGGGTGCCCAAAATCTTGCCCAGGTTCCACATCAGAGCACCGTACACTCGCATTAGCTGCTGAAAATCAACCATATCAGCCTTATTCAACACGATGCGAACTTTGTCTTCGTTGCCCTAGAGAGAAGACAATCAGTTAGCGAGAAACCGGCACTTATAAGGCATGAAATATATTTTCTAAAAACTAAAACGATTATCATTGTCCTTGAAGTTAAAAAAGAGCTATGTGACTAAAAATAAAGAGGACGTTCTGCAACAATGTATCCTAATCAAACGTACGGGCGGTGCACCACTTCAAAAAAACGTTTACAATTTTAGAAGATCCAAAAAAGACAAGACTCACCTTGACTGCTTCAATAACGGATTTAAATTCATCGGATATATCCAATTTATGCGCATCGAATAGGAGGATTATTCTATCAACATGGTGTGCAAACCATTCAATTACTCCTGTAAGGTCATAACCGCGACCAAGTCTTTGCTTCTCACCGCTGAGTATCCCAGGAGTATCTACGAGAGATATGCCCTCAAGGACCTTATTATTCAGTAAAGAGCACTGAAATCGATTCAAGAAATTATTTCCAAAGGCTGATAATGGACGGAACTGCTTTTTTGGGTCAACCACCAGAGCATTCCCCGGAATTATCGACGACTGTTCGCCGTGCATAATCGCTATGAATTTATCAGTAGTTGGTTCGGGACCAATGCGCATTCCTGGAAAATCCTCACCAATTAGGTATCGGATAAACGTGGTTTTCCCAGTCGAATATTGACCAACAAGTAAAACAATGGGTGTTGAATCAAAATCTGCATGCTCCAATGGAGGTGAATGAAACTCGTGAAACCTATAGGTCGTTTCCAAAGGAAGCAGATATTTAAAATATAAGCTATGTAAACCGTCGATCACAGTTCTATAGACTCCTTGATCTTTTGCCTTTTTTGACGCCGAAAACAAGCCCTCCATATCCAACCTCTAACGCGCGAACCCCATACACACGTCAATGTAACTCTTCGAAACTTCTATTGGTTGTCTGTTTTAATCATATTGGGATAAACAAAAGAGAAGTCTACTAAAAAGCCGTCGTAATTTGCTTTTTCAAAGAATTTCAGATTACGGCTGTCATTATGCAAAATAAATTTTTACGATGCTATAAAAAGTCAGAATTTTGCCTCTGGGCAAAATTTTTGTTTTTCGTTTGTCTACATTGGTCTAAATACAAATCCGAATATGTTTAGTAGGAGTTATATATATTTAAAATTGCTTTTTGGATAGTTTTTAATGTAGACATTTTGCGTTTGGTTTAGGTTTATGAAAGGAATCTGTGAATGTGGGCTATTGTGTTTTGTCGTATTCCTGTACGTGGTTTCCTGATTTCTCGCTTAGCAATACTATTCTATACTTTCGAATTTCCGTATGTGCAATTTAAGCCGATAATGAACAATAGATTCACATCAGTTTTTTACGATGTTGTGTTATTTACCTTTTGTGAGTCCTATCACTTTAAAAATCAGAATCACTTTCAGTGAGTCCACTCAATTACCATTCGTGCGGATGAGTTGAGGCTGTAAAGCGATTAAATTATAGCTTTAAAATACAGGCACCTCGATAACACGACGCGACTTCTTTGTAGCGTCTTGTTATTTACTATCATATTGTCCAGAGGGTCACAATGCATTTGTATGCAACCTTCGCCTGTAGTATCGATGATGTCATAATGCTTTCAAGTATTATGGCATTGCCACGAGTGTAATGTGTAGGAATGGAATTAAATTGCTGTACTCAAATGAGCCAGGTAACTCTGAATATTCTTGAAAGTGCTGTGAAAGAAGTACCTTATTGTTTTTACGTGATGTATTGACTACGTCGGCGCTTCGTATGACTTTAAATAATTTTAACAGTTGTCATTTAGGTCCCATGCACGGCGCAAACGACATAGTGTGCTGGGACAATTAATGAGTCTATCGCGCCGCCATCATTTTGATCGAGTCTTTAATTTAAAAAACGAAATCAATACCATAACATGTCGTTTAAGAGATACAAAGAAGAAGGCAGTCCCGGTTTTAAGCACAAAATCGACACGGGACTTTCGAGACCAAAAAATGCTTCTTCTTGCGATGTACTGAATAAAGCTACCTACTTAGAAAACGAATATAGTTTCAGTCTACCTGATCTCGAAAGCTTAAACATTTTTTTGTCCAGTCAAATTATTTTGGAGGCGGATTCGAAAGGCTGCAGTTGCCAAAATATTGAAAATTCAGGATTTTGTGGCTGGTCAATAGTGGAAAAGAAGGTCACGACAAGTGATGCATCGCTTTCCAGGTGCGAGGCTCCGAAGTCTAGGAAGATACAGCGGAGCTTGCGCGGTCGACGCCTTTCCTCTGCGCGATGTTTGTCACCACTGGCTTCGCGAGTTCGGCAACTTACCTCACACAGCGCATGTAAATGCATCAAAACATCCAATTTGGTCACCTACTCCCACACTGACCGGTTTATTGAAGACTACAGAGAAGGCAAGTTGGAGAATGCACGGGAATCCAGAAAGGTCATAATACCCGAGTACCGACCACCAGGTGGTGTATGCGGTAGACCTGCAGAGTCTGGGTAGCCAAACCACTTTTGGCACAGACAACTTTTTAAGTAAAAAGGTTACTTTCATTGATTCAATAACATCGCTTCTAGACAGTCCTCAGTAGATGACTGAAATGATTCGCCTAAATTATTTCAAGGCTTAAAAAGTAATTTAGCAAATGAAAAGGTGAGTTTTAATTTGAGTTCTTTCATTCGGTTGTCTATAGCAAAATAGATGTTAGATCAGACTTAATGAGTATTATTGCATTGCTCGGCTTAGTGCGTCGAACTGCAGACTTATGACGTTCGGCAAATAATATGTGAACGCTAAATCTTCATGAAAAGGAGAAGTAATCCACTAGCAGGCGCATTCTATAAGTGCTGTGCGTGATAGTGACTGATAAAACTTCCGGGGACTTCATTGAATGTAATTTTATCATAGTCATTAAGAAATGAACTCGGTAACTTAGGTTAGGTTTCCCGTGCGTCTCCGAACTGACAGCCTTAGGCGACATCTGTCAGCAGTAACTGTTCATTCCCGTTCGTTAGTAAACTTTTCTGTCCAAG